TGTGTAGCTTAACAAAAGAAGAACCTCAAGCTATCACAGTGTACATATTTAAGTATCAGCTTGAAGGTATTGAAGTCTCTACAAACTTATTCTGGTAGCTCAAAAACAAAGTTTGATTAGGCATGGAAGAGTGTATGAAACTCTGGACGCATTGGTACGTGAAAAGTTTGAATCCTTCCTTTATTGAGCTTTAATTGTTACTTACAGCCGTTGTGAGAATCATCGGTAATTTTTTTTTCTTTTGTGTTGTGTCGAGTTTTAATCCAAATGTGGCAAAAACTCAAAAACTACATTTTTCTCTTCTTTGACTATGAGTACCGTGAGATAAATTTGTTTCCTTTGACATTTCTCCGAGTCGACGGGTCTCACGGTGTTCATAAATACACTTTCGAAGCCCTTTTTCTGAAATTTCGATTCTCCCTCTTTCCCCTTTCAATTTCTCCCCTCCCTCCTTTATATTTCTCCTCTTTCCTCACCTCGCAACATCAACATTCCATTTTATTCCGTTTTTGGGGTCATACTCGACCATTCAGTCTCAGATCATCATCAGCAATACAGCCTTCCTTCTTTTACCTTCTCAACTTCCAACAAACCCCTTTCCTCTCATTTTCGAACGATTCTCTCAAGTCGAATATCAACATGCCAAAGACCTTGTACAGCACGGACATCAAGCTGGTTGTCTTACGGATGGTCTTGCGAGGTTTAACGTTCCCCGAAATTGTACGGTCCACTGGAATCGATCTGTCCCTCACAACTGTCCGTCGTTGGTTCGAACTTTATCGGACAACACGAGCTGTGGTGACCAATCCTTTGGACCTCATGCAACCCGGCGCGCCTTCTGCTCTAGGTGACGCTGAGAAAGATTTTGTATTGGAAGCTCTTGAACTCGATCCAACCCTTTATCTCGACGAACTCCAGGCCAAGATTCGAGATACTTTCGGAAGGACTGTCTCTGTGAAGACCCTCAGTACCGAACTTCGATCTCGTCTTTCTTGGACTCGTAAAAAGTCGCGCACGGTCCATCCCAACCAGTCTGCAATAGCGCGTGGTGCCTACATCGAAGAGATTTCCCAGATTGATCCTCGGTGTCTTGTATTTGTTGGTAAGTCTGACCTGTTTAGCATTATCTTCCAATTTTGACTCGTACTAACTTGGTGATTCCTGGCAGATGAAACTGCTATCTCCAAACGCAGATTATATCGAACCCATGCACGTGCGCCCCTCGGTCAACGCACGCCACGCCTTCAGCGGCCAACTCAGGCCTTCCGATGGTCATGTTTGCCTGCCATTTCAATGGATGGCATTGTAGCCATGTCTGTACAACCTGGAGGCTACGCCAGAGTGGATTTTGAGTCGTTCCTGGAGCACGACTTGGTAAGTTTTTTTAGTTTTAGTCTTTTCATTCTTGGATGTCATTACTGATTCTGATTTGGTTTGTATCAGCTCCCAGCCATGAACCCATTCCCAGCTCGGAATAGTGTTCTGGTCTTGGACAACGCTCCTATCCACCACAGTGGGAGGGTTGAGGAACTCTGTCACGCACGAGGTGTCAGGCTAGTCTATCTACCAGCCTACAGCCCCGATTTCAACCCTATCGAAAAGGGGTTTTCGGTGCTGAAGTCAAGACTTAGACGCTTGCAGGTGTTGCAGCAAGCTTTGGCTGCAGAAGACGAGATAGAGGCACTCTTCATTGCTTGTATGGATTTATTCACGGAAGAGATATGTGAAGGTTTTTTTAGAGGATGTGGTTATGTGTAGTCAACCCTTCTCAAGTACTTACAATAATCAAGGCAAAAGAATGAGCTTATTACTTATAATATTAACACACGAGGCCCGAGGCTATCTTGACTATTTATTTAGCTATCAATTCTTAGTATTGAAATATTACGAATCTCATTAAACATGGTATCGAGATTAAAAGAAAGACAAATTACTTATAACACATGATTTAGTTTTTAGGAGCAAGGATATTATTGAAAAAGAAATAAAAAAGACTCAATTCAAAATCTGCAAGACTCGATTTGTTTGCTTGGTTTTGCTTTGACTGTCTTTATGTACTGAAATGAATTTTTATAAAATTGTCTAGTCATGAATTTGTCTAGTCTGTGGTTCACGTAGTTTATCTAAGGTTTTTTTTTGACTTGGTTTGTTCAAATATCTAAAAAGTTGTCAATTTTTTTCCTTGTTTTGTTTTGCTTGGTTTTTTTTGGTTTGGGCGGAAGGAATGAAATTAAGCTTTGCAGCCATTGTTTTTTAAAAGACTTTGAAAAGACTTACGAGATGAGCGAAAAAAAAAAACATTAAAAGTCTTTGAATTGACTTTGGACATCAGCGAAAATAAAATTTTTAGTCTTTGAAATGACTGGCAAATATTTTTTAAAAGACTTTGAAATGAATTTCGAGATGAGCAAAAAATTTAATTTTTAGTCTTTGAAATGACTGGCAAATATGTTTTAAATGTCTTTGAAATGAATTTCGAGATGAGCAAAAATTAAATTTTTAGTCTTTGAAATGACTGGCAAATATTTTTTAAAGGTCTTTGAAATGAATTTCGAGATGAGCAAAAATTATTTTTTATGAGTCTTTGAACTGACTTGGTACATGAGCGAAAATTATTTTTTTAGTCTTTGAAATGACTAAAGGAGATGAGCAAAAACCATTTCATGTGGCACTTTTTAAAAGTCGCGAAAAAGATTTCAAGTGGCTCATTTGGTTGGTTTGGCAAGTAAAATCATTCATGTTTATATTGGTTTGCGACTTTGCGAAATCATACAAATAGGGAGCAGCATGACAAAAAAAAAACACAAAAGTCTTCTGCGACATCGTACAAAGATGGAGCAGAGGGTATAAACACAGGGATTCTTCTGAAACACATACATGAGGGAGCAGCGAATAGGAAGACAGGGTTATGATTTACTAAAGACACATCCCCCGAATTGGAATGAGCGATTAGAATTCGGGGGATTGGGGACGACTTGAAATGGAATCCCCAGAATCTTCATCTTGAAGCTCGTCGGTTTCCTTCTTGAGTTCATTGACACGGTCCATCGCTTCGCTGACGAGATGCAAAGCTAGAGCGGGGTGCATGCCACGCGTGGTAAGAGATGACTCAGTGAACTGGTGGCTAGGTATCAAGTCAGTCCATGATTTGATACCTGCACGTTCAAGGATCATCCTGGTCGTCTCGTCTTTTGGTGGAACATTGCAATCAATCAAAAAGCGCTCTAAGGCCTCAGCATGAGCTCGATCTTGGCCCTCTGAGTCGCCAGGAGTATTGGATCGATAAATTTCATAATCTACGATGTTAGAAGTCATTAAGTTAGTATTTGTTCAGTAGTGTTAAACGTAATAAAGGAAAAGTTGATTAAAATGGGGTACATACCTCCTTGAGTTTCATTGCCTTTCTTGGTATCTTGAGAGGAGTCGATGTGGCTAGGTGATGGGGGATCTGAGGAGATCACAATCGTGATACCCTTTGAGGGCAAGCCTAAAGATTGGAGTCCACAGTTGGTCAGGACCGAAACATTTACAGTCAGTACAACTATCGTTAGACAGTTAGTACAAATAGAACATTACCTGGTTTGGTTTTAATCTTGACTTTACATTCTTGAGACCAAGGAAAAGCACCAGACGGGGGATCTGAAGACAGACAGATTGTTTTGCCCAAACCAGAGGGAGAGACTACAAGGAGAAGTCGAAATGTTGAGAATCAGTTGGAATGAATCATCATTGAGAGAAACATTATAGAAGAAAGCGAACGTACTTGGTTCAAGTTTCACCTTCTTCTTGTCATCTTCAGAGAAACCTGCATAACTGGCGCATCTTTTGGAGCCGGTTGGTTTTTGAAATAACAGTTGAGCTGGCAGGTCAAAAAAGGACTGCTTAGATCCTCCCGATCTGTGAAACGTGGGAGATAAGTCAAGTCGCAGTTGAGAGCTGCGCATCTTGACTCGATCGTGGACTTTGGTGGCCTGATGGACACTCGGGCCTTCTTCATGATCGCCAA